TTTCAACATTAAAATATTGCTCTCTCTGTGAAGTTTTGTGATAGAAATAATAGAAGAGTGATGTTTACTTTAATAAAGTTACACTGGAATCAATACTTATATTATTTTAAATAGTTTCAAAATATTTGACTAAAGGCTAGACTATGTGAGCTATAGCTTAACAGCAATAAGGGGGATTTATATTTATATTGACATAAAGCTTTTCAAAACACAGTTTTACTTTCTGACAGACCATTCAAATAACCATGGAAAATCAGCACTGTTATCATTCCCATTCGGTGTGATTAGTAGAAAATATAAATTTGTTTTATTTGAATTTTTATCTAAGCATTAGCAACACTAAGAGATTGAAAGTAATCCACATATAATCAGTACAAGGAAACTCCAACTAGCCTGGGTTATGATGCACATCAGTGTGATTTTCTGGTTAGTCAAGTCTAAAATTGGTTGCAAGTACAGGTTGGTCAGTGAAAGAATATCCACTCCACTGTCTTGTATCTGAGGGGAAAAGTATGGAAAGACAGAGCAGTGGACGGTTTAATTCAAGGTATAAATACAGATCCCCTCTATCACATTATAGAATGAGACCCTCTCCATAGTTGTAAAACTCTCTGAGGGAAAGGAGATGGTAATGCTTAGAAAGAACTTCTAACTGGTTGTTCTTGAGGCTCAGTGAAAAGGAAATCATGGTCAGCTGAGTAAATACATCCTTTCTTTCCTTCCCAGTGAACTGAGTCCAAACAGTTATAATTGGACTCTCCTGCACCACCACATCCCAGTAGCGATTACTATCAGAAGACAACTCTTCACTTAGATGTCAGGGTTTCAAAATGCTTCCATAAATCAGCTTTACATTAGCTTTCTTTTATCCCCAAAATTGGGATTTTAATAAATTTTGCAATTATGCTTTCACATTTTGTAGGTAAATTTGCATCATGTATTACTGGTACGTCAGTAAACGCATTCCATCAAACATAATTGGCTTACAAAAGTAAAATTTTAAAGTAAGTTTAAAAGTGAAAAGTAAAATTTTAAAGAAAGTTTCATGATGATAATTGTTTTCATGAAAACCCATTACTTCCATGAATGTAGTAAGAAACAACTGAAAGGCTATATTTATATAATACTAAGTCTGAATATTTGAAAACCTACCTCATAAAATAATACCATGAATTTTAAATTTCACTGACTTTAAAAATGCTCATTTGGTTGGAAAACTTAACAATTATTGAATCAGAGGCAAAGGTTTACGATGTTCACTTCATCATTCTTTTAACTTCTCATGTTTCGAATAGTAAGTTGATTCTGGAATGTAGCCAACATACTCCTTATAACGAAATTTGAAGCACTAATCACTTACACTATAAAAGAAAGGTTGAAACCAATAATCTAAACTTAACCTTAAGAAACAAGAAAATGAGCATATCAAAATAAAAGCAAAGAAAGAAAACAATAATCTTAAGAGCAGAAAACAATAAAACTGAAAATAGAAAAATCAACAAAAGCTGGTGTCTGAGAAGGTTAAGAAAATTAATAATACTTTAACAATAATTATTACAAAAAAGAAACAAATTAATAACATAAAAAAAGAGATTCTACATACATTCAAAGAATAATAAGGAAGCATTATAAGCAACTATATACCGATAACTTTGAAAATGTCAATGAATTGAAAAAATTATTTGAAAGACACAAACTACCAAAACTTACTCAAGAACAAGTAGATAAACAGAATAGTCCTGTATGTGTGAAAGAAGTTAAATTTGTAGTCTGTGACATTGCCACAAAGAAAATTCCAGGCCCAGATGACTTCACTGGTGAATTCTACCAAACTGTTCAGAAAGAAACACTAGTTCCACAAACTGGTAGAGAAATTTGAACCAAACAGAATGCTTCTCAACTTATTCTCTAAGGCCAGCATTACCCTGCTAACAAAAATTGAAAAATATATTACAAGAAAAGAAAATTACGGATAATTATCTTGTTAATATAGATGTAAATGATCTTTAAGATTTTTAAGGAAATTGAATACGACAACACATTAAGAGGATAATACATCATGACCATGTAGGATTTATCCTGGGAATGCAAGGTAAGTTTAACATTTGAAATCAATGTAATTCACCATGTTAAGATTAAAATAATTAAAACTATTTGATTATCTAAACGGATGCAGAAAAGCATTGGGGAAAAATCAACAATTCAAAATAAAAACTCAACAAGCAAGAAATACTAAAGAACTTCCTCACACTGATAAAAGGTATCATTGAAAAACCTACAGTTAGTAACATACTTAACGTTGACTGCATGCTTTCTAAGATTGTAAACAAGGCAAAAATGTCCACTCTACTTCCATTCTACATTGTACTGGAGATGTTAGCCAGTGTAATAAGGCAAGGGGAAAAAAGAAAAAAAACAGACTAGAAAAGAAGTAAAACTCTTTATATTTGAAGACCACATGATCATCTATATCCAGAGAAATCTACCTCTGCGGGTTAGCAAAGTCAGAGAACACAAGGCTGAAACACAAACATCAATTATATGAAGGTAGTTCAAAAAGTTCATGGAAAGATTCTTACTATCTTTTACTTCTATTTTCCCATGAACTTTTGAAATACCCTCATATTTCTATGTTTTAACAATGAACAATTATAAAGTAAAATTTAAAAACAATATATTTACGATAGCATCAAAATACATGAAGTAATGATAAATTTAAGAAAATATTTGCTATTCCTGCACAATAAAAACTATGCAGCATTTATAAGACAAAATGTAAAAGACCTAAATGAATGGGAATACATATCACGCTGAGAATCACAAGACTCAATATAAGTTGTAAATTCACTGCAAATTGATTTGTAGACTCAATGCAATCTTAATCAAAATCCCAGCAGTCAATTTATATTGAAAAGACAAGCTGATTCTGAAATATATATGAAAATGCAAAGGACCTAGAAGGACCAAAATTATTTTGATTAAAAATAAATAGGAGGATTAACACTATTGTGATCAAAACACTATTGTACTTATATAATCGTATACATTCAAAAAAATGTAACCGAGTCCAGAAATAGTCTTCAACATATATAACCAAATGATTTCCAACAAAGAGCCCCATGAGTCAATAAGCAGAGAATAATCTCTTAGAGCCCTATACAAAGAAATAAACATTGAGATAACTCATACTATATACAAAAACTAACTAAAAGTGAACATAGTAAAACTGATAGAAGAAAATATTAAAGAAAGTAATTCCAACTTTTGGTTAGACCAGGATTTCCTAGGTCAAAAAAAAGTACAAATTATAAAAAAAAAATTGATAAATTGAATTTTATCAAAATTAAAAACTTGTGCCCTTTGGAATGTACTGGTGAGAAAATGAAAAGGCGAACCACATCCTAGGGGAAAATATCTGTAAAACACACATCTAAGAAAGGACTTTGAATCCAGAATATATAAAGATCCCTTATGATTCAATAAGATGACAAGAATTACAATAAAAAGGTGGGGGTGGGGGTAAATATTTGGACAAACACATAACCAAAAAAAGTTATATACTTGGCAAATGAGCATGTGAAAATGTGGACAACATCTATAACATCATACTATGGTGTAAATGTTTGTGTCTCCCAAAATTCATATGTTGAAACTTAATCACCAGTGCGATTAGTACAGTTTCAATGTCCCCTCCAGATCTAATGTTGAAATTTAATTGCTAATGTAATGGTATTAGAAGGTGAGGCCTTAAGAGGTGATTAGGCTGTGAGTGCTCTGCCCTCATGAATGGATTCATGCTGTTACTGTGGTGGTAGGATGCTTATCCTGTGAGTGGACTCCTGATAAAAGGATGAATTCAGCCTTTCCTTCTGTCTATCTCATGTTCTTCCTCCCCATGTGATCCTTTCTGCCACATTATGACACAGCAAGAAGTCCCTCACCAGATACGGTGCCTCAATCTTAGACTTCCCAGCATCCAGAACCATGAGCCAAATAAACTTCTATTATTTATAAATTACTCAGTTTGTGGCATTCTATTATAGCAGCAGAAAACAGACTAAGACCTTGATGGTACTAAGAGGTGATATGATTGGGAGGAGATGAGGTAAAGAGAGAGGAGGCCTCATGAATGGGATGAGTACCTTTATAAAAGAGCCTCAGAGAGCTTCCCTAAAGCTATTTGCCATGTGAGGACACAGTGAGAACCAGGAAACAGGCCCTCAACAGGTATCAAATTTGCCAGCAACCTGTTCTTGGACTTCCCAGCCTCCAAAACTGTTAGAAATAAATTTCTAGTAGGAACTATTAGTAAATGTTTGTGTATAAAAATTTAATTAAACACAAATGCTTCACCCTTTTTAAAAAACCTAGGTACATTCAATGACCATACATAAAGTATTCAGACAAGCACACCCATAAGATATTAGGTCAGTTTGCATATTTCACTGTTTAGAACTACCCTGTGCCATTATTTCTTGACAGCAACAAATTAAGAAAAGTTTTGTGAATTATATTTGGATGACCAACTTTTAATTCATGATGCAGATAATTCATTTTTTCACTCATTAAATCTTCATTTTTAACAATAAGGAAAAAGGTGTAAAGTCTCTGAATTTTTATATATTTTAGTTAAAAATTTAAAAAATTCTATAAAAGCATGAACTAAATTATGCAACATCAATAACTTTACACCACCTACATAGGAAAAATTCAGAGATCTTTCAATATTTGAATTATGGAGAATTAACTTATTCTTCCAGAGAATTTAACTCTAAATAGTAATTATAAAAATATATAAAAGGTTTGTTTACTAATTATAGAGCTGATTATACGGCTAAGAGACTCCAGATTAAACTTCTAGAAAAGATCACAATTAGCCAGGAGTTTAAAAATAACAATAAGTTTGTTTTGTAAACAAACAGAGCAAAACTTCTTAACATCAAATTTTAAAGTATCTGAAAAACGTTGAAATGAATTTCCAAAATAAATACTAAACTTACAGTTTGTTGCCATATGAAATTGAGAAGAAAGTGTCTGAGTAACTGAATTCCAAAACATGTATAAAATTTCAGGTTGTCCATCCTGTAAGCCAAGAAATGAATGTATTCATTTATTTTAAAAAATTATAGTTGATAAGATGTAACATTGAATTTTATTTAAATTTTATTTAAGTCAAATTTCTAGACATCTGAATACCAATAAACGGAATTATTAAGTAACTAAGGAGAAATATATAGATGATTCAAATTGTGTCTCATGTTCAAGTTATCAGTCATTAACCCTGTTCTACTAGCTATGTGACCTGGGGCAACTTGCTTAACCATTCTCTGCCTTTACCCCTCATCTGTAAAATTGAGAGGGTAACAGTTCCTATACTACAGAATTATTATGAAGATTAAACAAACTGATAAAACTCTTGGGACAGTGCCTAACATACAGTAAAGTCTCAAGGAATATTGGCTACTGTTATTAACAATGATTACTATCATCATCATCCTTTGATATTGAGAACGTAATTTGTGTAACTATGACCAAATGATGCACAAAGCATGCTTAGACCAAGGATGACTAATAGGAAATAATTTACCATTACAAAAGAGAATAGCTGAAGCCTAGATATAGTTTTGTTTTGTTTTGTTTTTTCCTTTTCTTTTTTTCGTGTCCGGCAACAGATCGCAACCCTCAGTGTCGCGCCCGTACCAGACTGGGACCGGCAACGGGATCGCAACCCTCGGTGCCGCGCCCGCACCTTGCTCAGCCAGTGAGTGGGAACCGGTCTGTATGTGGGATCCGAACCCTTGGCGGGAGCGCCGCTGCGCTCCCAAGCGGCGCACTGTAGCAGTGCGCCACCGGGCCGGCCCGAGTTTTGGTTTTTTTTTTAAATCACAGGAATTACCACTACTCAGCTTAGCATGATGCTTTCATTCAACTTTGAATGCATGTTTTAGAACGTAACCACTAAAAAGAAAAAATAAATATCAGTACAAGTATCATCTGTTTAGAAAAGACAAAGTACTTTAACGCTGTTAAAAAGGAATGACACTCCAAGAGATTTTAAATACTTTAAGGGACATCTACATATGTGGTATACAATAAGTGTTTGCTAATATTCTACTATTTTTTATGTACAAAAATGCCAATTTCGTATGGCTCAAAGTAACATTATAGGGCGGCGTTGGTGGTATAGTGGTGAGCATAGCTGCCTTCCAAAGTAACATTATAAATAAAATACATCTAGTGTTCAAATATTACTACTGACTGTCCTAAAAATTAAATTCTAATTTTGGATGTGATGAGTGAACAAAATAATGAATGAAAAATACAAGTACTGATTTGTGACTTTTATACCTATGCACATTTCACTTTCATTGTTATTTGTCTCTTGAACAAGTCTCATGGCTTTGAATTTACTCAGGTGGGAATCTTGTATCATACAAAAGGCAAATCATATAATTTTCTATTTCTTATGCAATGATCAGAAAACACATTCAGATTCCCGAGATCTTGTTTCAAGTGTACTGTGTCTTGTGTATCTAAGTTTAGAGTAGATGTTTTTCATTATATTTAAGAAGTATCATCATGTACATTAAAAGAATAAAGGACAAAAACCAGATGATCTTAACTGACACAGAAAAAAACACTTGATAAACTTCAACATCCTTTCATGATAAAGAACACTCAACAAAGTAATACTAGAAGGTAATTATATCAACAGAACAAAGGCCATATTTGAAAAGACCACAGCTAACATCACGCTCAATGGTGCAAAACTGAAAGCTTTTCCTCTAAGATCAGGAACAAGGCAGGATGCCAACTTCTATTCAATATAGCACTGGAAGTCCTGCCAGAATGATCCGGCAAGAAAAAGAAATAAAAGTCATCCAAATTGGAAAGCAAGAAGTAAAATTATCTCTGTTCACAAATGACATGATCCAGCATATAGAAAATCCTAAAGATTCCATGCAAAAAAAGACTGTTAAACCAATAAAGGAATTCAGAAAATTTGTAGGATACAAAATCAATGCAGAAGAATAAGTTGCATTTTGATACACTAAGTAATCTGAAAAGGAAATGAAGATACATGGTAACATCCAAAACAATAAAGTACTTAGGAATACACATAATCAAGAAGGGAAAAGACTTGTATAATGAAAATTACAAAACACTGCAAAAAGAAATTAAAGAAGACACAAATAAATATCAAGAGATCCTATGTTAATGGATTGGAAGATTGATACTGTTAAAATCTCCATACTACCCAAAGCACCCAAAGAAACCTAAAGATTCAATGCAATCCCTATCAAAATCTGACACTTTTTGGAAAAAAAAAAATCTTAAACTTCAAATGGAATTTCAAGGGACCTTGAATGGCAAATACAATATTGAGAAAGAAAAACAAAGCTAGAGGCCTAACCTTTCTTGACTTTAAAACAAACTGCAAAGTTTCAGTAATCAAAACTAACATAAAGTTAGTTTATGGTACTAACACAGATACAGACATATAGACCAAAGGAACAGAATAGAGAACCCAGAAACAAACCATCACATATATGGTCATATGATCTTTGACAAAGGTGTCAAGGCTACACAATGGGGAAAGGATAGTCTCTGCAATAAATGCTGCTGGGAAAACAGAATGCACACATGCAAAAGAATAAAGCTGAACCTTACACCATGTATACAAATTAACTAAAAATAAATTGAAAAACTAAAACTAAGACCTGAAGCTATAACTTCCAGAAGAAAATATAGGGAAGAGCTCCCTGACACTACATTTGGCAATGAAAATCTACTCAATAAAATAATAATGAAAAACTTCTCAGTTAAAGGGAGAGACACAGACCTCCAGACCTAAGAAGCTCAAAGATCCCCAAACAGATTCAATCCAAAAAGATCCTCCCTGAGACATATTAAAGTCAAACTGGCAAAGCTCAAAGACAAAGAGAGAATCCTAAAAGCAGCAAGAGAAAAGCATCAAGTCACTTATCAGCGAGCCCCCATCAGACTCACAGTAGAATTCTCAACTGAAACTCTACAGGTGAGAAAAAAATGGGATAACATTCTCAAAATACTAAAAGAAAAAAAAACTGCCAGCCAAAAATACTATACCCAGCAAGGCTATCCTTCAGAATTGAGAAAGAAATAGTGCATTTTCCAAACAAAGAAAAACTGTGGGAGTTCATCATCACACAACCAGTTCTGCAAGAAATTCTCAAGGGAGTCCTGCATCTAGAATCTGAAAAACAATAATCACTACCACGAACATACAAGAACAAACAAAACCCACTGGTAAAACACAAACGTAAATCAGAAACAAAAAAGAAACTAAATCTTATCACCTCAAAAAACTAACAAATGTCAAAGATGAATAATAAAACAGGAAGAAAGGAACAAAGGATATTTAAAACATCTAAACAAAAAGCAATAAAATAGCAGGAGTAAGATAATATCTCTCAATGACAAACACTAAATGTAAATGGATTAAACTCCCCACTCAAAAAAACAGAGACTGATGGATAGGATGAAAAAACTAGACCCAACTATATGCTATCTTCAAGAGACCCACCTCACGTCTAATGATGTACACAAACTAATAATGAAGTGATAGAAAAAGATATATCAAGCAACTGGAAACCAAAAATGAGCAGAAGTACCTATTCTTATATCAAAACCAAAAACCATAAAAAGGGACAAAGAAGACCAATATGTAAGGACAAAGGGATCTATTCAGCAAGAAGACATAACAATAATAAATATACATGCACCGAAAACCAGAGCACACAGATATATAAAGCAAACACTATTAGACCTAAAGAAAGAGATAGATTCAAATACAGTAATAGTGGAGGACCTGAAAATTGTTCTCTCAGCACTGGACAAATCATCCAGGAAACAAATCAACAGAGAAACACAGGATTTAAACTACACTTTGGACCAACGGGACTTTAGAAATGTCTACAGAACATTTCATTCAGCAACTACAGAATATACATTCTTCTCATGAGCACATGGAACATTCTTCAGGATAGACCACATGTTAAGTCACAAATAAAGTGTCAACACATTTTAAGTAATTGAAATCAACTCAAGCATCTTTTCAGACCACAACAGACTAAAACTAAAAATAATGAGCAAAACTCAGGACACTATACAAAAATGTGGAAATTAAACAACAGGATCCTGAAAGACATATGGGTCCAAGAATATATTAAACAGGAAATCAAAAACATCTTGAAACCAATGAAAATAAAGAGACATCATAACAAAACATGTGAGATACTGCAAAAGCAGTACTAAGTGGGAAGATTATTGCAATTAACACTTTCATCAAAAAAATAGAAAAATTTCAAATAAACAACCTAACAGCATACCTCAAAAAACTAGAAAACAAAAACAATCCAATCCCAATGTTAGTAGATGGAAAGAATTAATTAAGATGAAAGCACAACTAAATGAAATAGAGACCCAAAAAACAATACAAAAGATGAATAAAACAAAAAGTTGTTTATTAAAAAATATATAAACAAAAATAGACAAACCATTAGCTAGGTTAACAAAAGAGAGAGAGAGAGAGAGAGAGAGAGAGAAAACCCAAATAACAAAAATCAGAAATGAAAAAGGAGACATTACAACAGACATAACAGAAATACAAAGAATCATTAGGGACTATTATAAACAACTACATGCCAACAAATTTGAAAACCTGGAGGAAATAGATGAATTTCTGGACACATACAAACTGCCAAGACTGAATGAAGAAGATACAGAAAACCTAAACAGATCAATAACAAGCAATGAGATTGAAGCAGTCATCAGCAATGTCCCAACAAAGAAAAGCCCAGGGTCACATGGCTTTATTGCTGAAGTCTACCAAACCTTTTAAGAGGAATTAATACCAATTCTCTTCAAACTATTCCAAAAAATTAAAACAGAGGCCACTCTCCCAAACTCACTCTATAAGGCTATCACCACCCTGATAACAAAACCATACAAAGATACAACAAAAAAAGAAAACTACAGGTCAATATCTCTCATGAAAATAGATCCAAAAATCCTAAACAAAATACTAGCAATCAGAATAC